CCGGACCACATCACAGAGAACCAGATTGATCACATCTGTATCAACAAAAAATTCCGAAGATCAATGGAAGATGTGAGAACCCGGAGAGGAGCTGACATAGCTTCAGATCACCACCTGGTTATGGCCAAGATGAGACTGAAGCTTAAGAAACACTGGACAACTGGACAAACAGCATTACAAAGGTTCAATACAGCCTTCCTTCGAGATACTGACAAGCTCCATGAATTCAAGATAACTCTCAACAACAGGTTCCAAGCTCTACAGGATCTACTGAAAGAACAAGAAACTACTTTGGAGGACAACTGGAAAGGGATAAAAGAAGCACTAACTTCAACGTGTCAGGAGGTTCTTGGTCCTAAGAAGCATCATCACAAGGAATGGATCTCTATGGGGACCTTGGACAAACTTCAAGAAAGGAAGAACAAGAAACTAGCAATTAACAACAGCCGGACACGAGCAGAGAAAGTCAAAGCACAAGCAGACTACGCAGAAGCAAACAGAGAAGTGAAGAAAAGCATTAAAGCCGACAAGCAGAAATACATGGGAGAACTAGCAACGGCGGCGGAAAAAGCTGCAAGAGAATGGAATATGAAACAACTATATGATACAACGAAGAAATTGGCAGGGAGATATAGCAAACCAGAGAGACCAGTCAAAGACAAAGAAGGAAAGACAATCACTGAGATTCAGGAACAGAGGAAAAGATGGGCAGAATACTTTGAGGAACTGCTGAATAGACCAGCCCCATCGAATCCACCGAACATCGAAGCAGCCCACACTGACCTTCCAATAGATGTCACTCCACCAACGATCGAAGAAGTCAAGATGGCCATCAGACAAATCAAAAGTGGGAAGGCGGCAGGACCTGACAATATACCAGCAGAAGCACTGAAGTCAGACATTGAAATAACTGCAAATATGCTTCACCTTCTGTTCAAGAAGATTTGGGAAGAGGAACAAGTGCCAACGGACTGGAAAGAAGGATATCTCATCAAGATACCAAAGAAAGGAGATCTGAGCAAATGTGAGAACTACAGAGGCATCAGTTTGTTATCAGTACCAGGAAAAGTTTTCAACAGAGTGCTGCTGAATCGGATGAAAGACGCAGTAGACGCCGAACTTAGGGATCATCAGGCTGGATTCCGTAAAGATCGGTCGTGCACAGACCAGATTGCGACACTACGGATCATCGTTGAACAATCAGTTGAGTGGAACTCATCACTATACGTCAACTTCATCGACTATGAGAAGGCATTTGACAGCGTGGATAGGAGAACATTGTGGAAACTTCTTCGACACTATGGAGTTCCTCAGAAGATCGTCAACATTATCTAAAACTCATACGACGGATTACAGTGCAAAGTGGTGCATGGAGGACAGCTGACAGATGCATTTCCAGTAAGGACCGGAGTCAGACAAGGCTTTCTACTCTCCTCATTTCTCTCCCTTCTAGTGATTGACTGGATTATGACGAATTTGACATCCGAAGGGAAATACGGAATACAATGGACAGCTCAGAATCAATTAGATGATTTGGACTTCGCAGATGACCTAGCCCTCCTCTCTCATACACACGACCAAATGCAGATGAAGACAGCAAATGTAGCAGCAGCCTCCGCATCGATGGGCCTCCACATTCACAAAGGAAAAAGCAAGATTCTCAAATGCAACACGGAGAACACTGACCCAATCACACTTGATGGCGAAACTCTGGAAGAGGTGGAAACATTCAAGTACCTGGGGAGCATCGTTGATAAACAAGGAGGATCTGATGCAGATGTAAAGGCGAGGATTGGCGAAGCAAGGACTGCATTTCTACAATTGAAGAACATATGGAACTCAAAACAACTCTCAACCAATTTCAAGGTCAGAATCTTTAATACGAACGTCAAGACAGTCCTACTGTATGGAGCTGAAACGTGGAGAACTACTACGGCCATCATCAGGAAGGTACAAGTATTTATAAACAGTTGTCTACGCAAAATACTTAACATCCATTGGCCGGATACTATCAGCAACAGCGTTTTATGGGAGAGGACAAACCAGCTTCCAGCTGAAGAGGAAATAAGGAAAAGACGTTGGAAGTGGATCGGACATACATTAAGGAAATCACCAATGTGCATCACGACTCAATCCCTAACTTGGAATCCGGAAGGGAAGCGGAAAAGAGGAAGGCCAAAGAACACACTACGCCGGGAAATAGAAGCCGATATGAAAAGGATGAATAGCAACTGGAAAGAACTGGAAAGGAAGGCTCAGGACAGAGTTGGATGGAGAATGCTGGTGAGCGGCCTATGCTCCTCGACGAGGGGTAACAGGCGTAAGTAAGTAAGTAAGTGAGATTTCAACAAAGTGGACACTCACAAAGAACTGATTGTTAATTGCAGTTGTCACAAAAACACATATACACGATGCTGTTAATCCACAAGTGCAATTTTGTGAACTCTTATAATAGCTAACCAGATTTATTGAATGAAAACAATCAAATAAGTACAAAAGGTCATATTTTTTATTTCATTAACAATATTCATCAATTATTAGGTGAACAATCATGAAAGAATTATGTAGTTTCATTTAACAATCTCCAAATTAAAGAAATAATCAACAAAATATAAGACAAATTTGATTAAAAACAAAATGGAAATAACAATTTCAGCATTATGAAATCAAGCGATCATATGCTTTTCTGAGATATGGATTGATTTTCTGCCTCCTGTACAACCATAGCCAAGCAACACAACCAATACATACAATAAGGAAAAGGATAACAAGTGGAATAACAATGTATAGGGAATTATTTGATTTTCTTTGCTCTTTATTTTCCGTCGTACCTGTAGTGATATTCTAGAAAATAACGAAACAGTATAATAATAACAAAATGTCAAATATTTACCAACACAGATTCAGTTGTTTGAGGAGTTTTGTTCGACTCATTTGTTAAAGCAGGTTTCGTGATACCAGTCGTTGTTTCTTCTTGATTGATAAGTGTTGCTTCACTCGTAACATTGACATTCGTCATTACCTGGAGGACAATACGGTGGCAATATTACTCAACATGAGATATTTTTCAATTAACGCATCATTCACCATACATTAGTGTTAGGATTGATGACTGAAGTGAATTCATAAATTAGTTGCATGATTTATATTTGCACAATGTGATCAATGAATAGCGATTTACAATATCTGCTATCGACTTGACAGTCAATGTGATGAATACATATCACCCTTCAACTAATGAAATTTGTTCCTTATATGTCACATCTCATATCAATCTAAACACTAATCAACAAAATTATAACTGATTGTTTTATTGAAACAATCGATCCAGGATACGTCTTTCTCAACAGAAGATCAAAAAACCTCTTTCTGAACTTCAACACTCGGAGTCTACGAACTATTGCTCATTATCTAATCATGCTACCAAATTTTAAGCAGATTATGATTTATCATTCAAACATATCTCATTTGCATTTCTCGGAAGTTTGCGTGGACAAACGGCTTCATATTGAGCATCGAGAAACGCTACACGTACTTTGAGCTAAACAAAAGCATGTTTCAGGGCATAAATGTTGGACAACATGTTCATTGATTGTTGAATGTCCATAAGGGAACGCAAAACTGTAGGCACATCTGATTAAACATCGTTAACAATGTCAGCATGATGAAATCAAGCGATCATATGCTTTTCTGAGATATGGATTGATTTTCTCCCTCCTGTACAACCATAGCCAAGCAACACAACCAATACATACAATAAGGAAAAGGATAACAAGTGGAATAACAATGTATAGGGAATTATTTGATTTTCTTTGCTCTTTATTTTCCGTCGTACCTGTAGTGATATTCTAGAAAATAACGAAACAGTATAATAATAACAAAATGTCAAATATTTACCAAAACAGATTCAGTTGTTTGAGGAGTTTTGTTCGACTCATTTGTTAAAGCAGGTTTCGTGATACCAGTCGTTGTTTCTTCTTGATTGATAAGTGTTGCTTCACTCGTAACATTGACATTCGTCATTACCTGGAGGACAATACGGTGGCAATATTACTCAACATGAGATATTTTTCAATTAACGCATCATTCACCATACATTAGTGTTAGGATTGATGACTGAAGTGAATTCATAAATTAGTTGCATGATTTATATTTGCACAATGTGATCAATGAATAGCGATTTACAATATCTGCTATCGACATGACAGTCAATGTGATGAATACATATCACCCTTCAACTAATGAAATTTGTTCCTTATATGTCACATCTCATATCAATCTAAACACTAATCAACAAAATTATAACTGATTGTTTTATTGAAACAATCGATCCAGGATACGTCTTTCTCAACAGAAGATCAAAAAACCTCTTTCTGAACTTCAACACTCGGAGTCTACGAACTATTGCTCATTATCTAATCATGCTACCAAATTTTAAGCAGATTATGATTTATCATTCAAACATATCTCATTTGCATTTCTCGGAAGTTTGCGTGGACAAACGGCTTCATATTGAGCATCGAGAAACGCTACACGTACTTTGAGCTAAACAAAAGCATGTTTCAGGGCATAAATGTTGGACAACATGTTCATTGATTGTTGAATGTCCATAAGGGAACGCAAAACTGTAGGCACATCTGATTAAACATCGTTAACAATGTCAGCATGATGAAATCAAGCGATCATATGCTTTTCTGAGATATGGATTGATTTTCTCCCTCCTGTACAACCATAGCCAAGCAACACAACCAATACATACAATAAGGAAAAGGATAACAAGTGGAATAACAATGTATAGGGAATTATTTGATTTTCTTTGCTCTTTATTTTCCGTCGTACCTGTAGTGATATTCTAGAAAATAACGAAACAGTATAATAATAACAAAATGTCAAATATTTACCAAACAGATTCAGTTGTTTGAGGAGTTTTGTTCGACTCATTTGTTAAAGCAGGTTTCGTGATACCAGTCGTTGTTTCTTCTTGATTGATAAGTGTTGCTTCACTCGTAACATTGACATTCGTCATTACCTGGAGGACAATACGGTGGCAATATTACTCAACATGAGATATTTTTCAATTAACGCATCATTCACCATACATTAGTGTTAGGATTGATGACTGAAGTGAATTCATAAATTAGTTGCATGATTTATATTTGCACAATGTGATCAATGAATAGCGATTTACAATATCTGCTATCGACTTGACAGTCAATGTGATGAATACATATCACCCTTCAACTAATGAAATTTGTTCCTTATATGTCACATCTCATATCAATCTAAACACTAATCAACAAAATTATAACTGATTGTTTTATTGAAACAATCGATCCAGGATACGTCTTTCTCAACAGAAGATCAAAAAACCTCTTTCTGAACTTCAACACTCGGAGTCTACGAACTATTGCTCATTATCTAATCATGCTACCAAATTTTAAGCAGATTATGATTTATCATTCAAACATATCTCATTTGCATTTCTCGGAAGTTTGCGTGGACAAACGGCTTCATATTGAGCATCGAGAAACGCTACACGTACTTTGAGCTAAACAAAAGCATGTTTCAGGGCATAAATGTTGGACAACATGTTCATTGATTGTTGAATGTCCATAAGGGAACGCAAAATTGTAGGCACATCTGATTAAACATCGTTAACCTACACTATATTTTGATTTATGGACTGAGAGAAGAATGGAAATCATCCATTATTAGTAGCAATAAAACGTTCTTTCGAGTAAACAGATTTACAATGTGGAATATGTTTATATTGAGCACAATCTGTGAATTCCACCAATTACTCACTTCAACCTGACAACCATTTACTTTGAATTCATGAATATTTTCATCATTAATAGCAGTGCACATCCTGGCTTTTTCGCACCACATACACGTTTTTGCACCTTCACATTCATCAGTAGACTTGTGTTTTGGACAATCTTCAGTGAAAGGGATGAAGTGATTGCATGTCAGGTTATCAAACAAAAGGTAAGTGAATTGCAAAACATAAAACTATGACTCAATGACTTAAAGTTGATTTGGGATTAAAGTGATTATTTCATTCATTGTGAATTTGCCATCACATTCCGCAATGCGAAATTTAGTACGCTTTCAACGTCATCCACATTCCGCGACAAAATCATGGTATTCAATGAAACTACGTTGAATGTCAAACGGTGAGTTTCCACGTACCGATTTCGTGGATTGACATGACTCTTTGCATTCAGAAATGTACACACTATGCTGTCTTTGGGTTCAGCAGAGCCAACTGAGTTTGATTTTTGATTGTTGTTGAGTTTTTTTTCCATGATATCTGTCCTATGATGGAAAAGTATATTGTACACGATTTCCACATATGAATAGTGGTAAATAACTTTGCAAACTCACTCACATTGACTACTTTGGAATCCGTCCAAGGTAGCCAGTTGTCCCCAGACAGAAAAATCATATATATATATATATTCATGTTCCTTTAATCCAGAAACAAAAGAAGAGTGACAATGTTTCTCATTTCGTCACTGACGTTTTCCATGAATAAATTTCAGTCGCACAATTCTCATGAGACGTTTCACACTATGTAGTCAAATTCTACTCTATGTGCTGTTAGCCAACACATCAGGCTCGTTGGATAATCAACATTCATCGATAACAAGTGTCATTTTATTCAAAGAATATTGAAGTCGATCTGAACATAATGTTATAGAATGAGTATCTTAGTTGTCATGATCTTATTTCAATAGTCTAACTTATGATGAACTAAAAAGTGTTTGTGCTTACCCTATGCATATAATAATGAGAAGGAAAACACTTTGATACCATAAAAATCTTCAATATTTTTGATACTGTAAAAGTATCTACCGCCTATTGTTATTCGGAACCTGGACACGTGACTTATATTTACATTCAATTTATCGGATGGAAAGGATAAAGTGGGGTGTTTGAAAATTCGTTATCGCATGACCCAATTGAAATAACAATGGACACTTCCGTCACATTTAATTTAGGCAAAATCCATCAAAGTGAGAAATTTCAAAGTAATTCGAAAATTTTCCTTCGTTTTTTTTAAATATTCAACAACGAATTCACGTGTAGTTTAACGTTGGTTGGTACTGATGGCTGGATTCAATTTATTCTTTCAATGAAGTTTCATATGAAAGTTTCAATTTTACGAAATAGAGGTAATGCATTCAAGCGTACAATTTTTCAACTCTCAAAATGAGGTCAACATACCCCCGAGAAGTTCATACTCCACCAACGTGCCACTTTGGATCCATTTTTCATGAACTTTTGTTTCAGCCATTTTATTACCTAGTGTAATAAATTGTACATAGATAAAAGACTGAGATTTTGTTTTACAATAGATCGTTAGAAATATGCGAATGAAATCACTCAATATCCATCTGCACTTCGATAATGAATAAATTCACACATCTTGTTTATATTATTCGGTATATCAGTATAGATTAGCGCTAGGATACGTAGAGCATGAAATTATTTGTTGATGGAAATTCTCACAGAAAAGAACGGAAACAAAACGACTACGAATTGATGACATCAACCCAAATCGGTTTTATGACAGTACCAATGTTGTTGGTTGTTGAAATGAAAACACAGATAGTTGGTCTATATTCAAGCGTATCCAGTGATCCACTGTACAAAAAACGTAATCGTGAACATCAGATATTTTTAGGATTATGTTGTATCATGATCCTTTCTCACACATGATACTACAATTTTGCTTCAAGATGTCTAAACAATTAATTGACGTTGAGTTTTGAAAAACCGGTAACTTTTGGACTGTAAGATTACGAAAATCATTCCAATTTTATCTCGTACAACTTTGGTCAACACATCAATGAAAGTTTGATCAATTTATTTCAAACACGAAACAACTGATTAATGTAGACTGTCTAAGAGGTATACTGAATCGCTAAGATAGATTAGGGGCAAATTTCTGTGTTGACATAACGATTATTGAGCATAAATAGAGAGGAGGATAAGGCCAGCAGATGATTGTTTATGTAGGTCAGTGTAAATCAGAATGAAACTAACGTTGGTTACCTTCATTATTTTCGCATTTAATCACACCGTTCAAGCCCGATTTCACTTGATTTCCCTTAATTCCCTTAGAAATCTGAAAAGAAGTAATGGAAATGTGAGTCAAGATTTGTCAACACACAACAACCTGCATAATAACCAACCAACCATTGAACGCATGTGTCGTCATTCAAATTATCGTATTCAAAGACAAAACGTCTTATTCACGGTAAGCATACTGATCTCCTTAGTTTCCTCAGACGTGTGCTCCATATAGTCTACAGAAATATACTCACTCACATTAGTTTTCAACCTCAGTAAAGTTTGTTGAGTGATCTATTTCTCGCAAAATGAGGCGACAAACCATAACATATTTACCTATCCGTTCAAAGTGAATGTGACTGTTACAAAGAGACAAAACCGTTTGAAAGTGTTCACCTCAATCTATTACAGTTCATTTTCCAAAACATAATCTGACTTAATTCAGTTAGTAGCAATTCACTTCTCATAATTCATTACTTTAAGAATACTACTAGAACAAAGTGTATCATTAAGGGATGTATTATAAGGGTCATATAGTCGGTAGGCACATTACAAAATGTTTTATATTCTATCAAGTTCAATGTTTTTTGGTACAATCGACAGTATTGATATGCAAAAAATAAGAGAACAGTCTGAAGTAATTGAAACAAATCTATATTCGCATTCAATCGTGCAACTTACGTAGTCATAATAAAACGCTATCTTCCCATTCGAGTGTATCAGAGTGGTCACATTGAATGTAAGCTCTGTAAACAGAAGACAATTGATATTCAGTATTAGATGAAATAGTGATGAGCATGTTATTGTTAGATGTGACACTGTATATGCCTACTTAATATTTGTTCAGATTTAAGCGAACATTTAATTGGCTATTTAAAATGTTTTCTGTAGTTGAACCCCAAATAAATGTATTCTTGTAAACGTGAAGTAAAAAAAACAAACACTCATCTTTCAAAATTATTGTCAGATGACTAGTTTCTGAAGCTGTATTACACCCTCATTTTTATGTTGAAACAATAAATCATCAAGCTTTTAAATAGATCTCATAGTTGGTTAGATGTTCACATTGGCGTAATATTCACTGCAATTACCCATGATAAAAACGACCCTAAGTACAAACGACTTGAGCTGTGAAGTGTTCGTTTACAAGAAGAACATCGTAACTCAATTATTTATGCATGGCATTGGTTTATCAGTGATCGGTAACGAAGGAAAATGAATAGTTTGAGAATATACGGCATAAGGATTTTTTAATTTAAAAGAATACTACTTAGGAATGACTGTGTGGTGTGTCACACAAATTGACTTCTCTTGAAATACAAACTTCCAATCAAGTTCTACTGAGGCTTGATAACGAAAATATATCTCTTCATTCATTATCCATGAGTGAAGTGTGATTATGACCTAAGTTATCCATACTGGTCTATTCGTTACACGTCAAATCTTGTTTGTTTCTCTTAACATCAACTGCTTTTTAATTACCAATCAATATGTTTAAACAATTAGTGGATTACACCGTATTATATTTGTCAGTTCTTGAAAAGAACTCAATTAAGCAGATATAACAGAGAACGCTTGAGCAATTACAATCAATGTTGGTGTAAGTGGTAATAATTCATGTATGATGAAAAAGTCATTTTATGGTTATATACTCTCATCAATACCTTCTCTATGATAAGTCTGTCTGATAGCCAACATTTCCTCTGAAATAATAAAAGTGAAATAAATTCGTGTTTAAATATATTTTTATCTAGAATATTCGCCTTTTTCGATTAACATACATATTAATAAAGAATATGCTTTAACATTTTCAATGATCCTTACTATTACATCAATGATGTGATTAAGGTTTCATTCAAATTGACTGAAAAGAATGTCCGAATTCTGAAACGTTGGTTTAAAAAGCTTTAGCTAACCAAGCAACTGGTAATTTCTATACGACGATACACATACTAAATCATTTTATGAGATTCTGTTATCACAGTGTAATAGTGTTTTCACAACTCTTCATGATCGTTTATTGAATGAATGTTTAAGGAAGAGAATAAGTTTGAATTTCATGACCTTGCGCATGTGATATTTAAAAAAAAAAAAACTGTTGATTATTCAATGGTTGAGAGAGGGACTCAAAGACACCAAACGTTTATGAACTAAGTAAATGACTGAAGAGATTTGGAGGACGTCAAAGATAATTTGATAGTTCATATACCTCGCAATTATTTCTTGCACAATATCGTTTATTATTGTAACTGTGATCAGTCTTATTCATTGAATACACCAAGAAGTGTTGTATTGATAAGATATGGTAGTCTAAACAGACCATAGATTATGTTAGTTTCACTTTAGCGAATACATTTGATTTGTTAATTCTACTCAATAAATTTGTTAGTATTTTGAAATGAATGGCTATTTTATTTATTATTTTCATCTGACAATAATGAATATGCATTGTGAACACATTTCGGATTATCAAATTACACAAGCAAATTAATCACTGTATACTGGTCAACCCTTATGACATAATCAAGTTAAATATTGAGTAATCTATACAAAATAAAGGTGAAAATTAAAAGAATGAAACAAAATATTATTGATAAACTCACTGTTATTTGAAATCTCTAAGTAACTTATAGCAATGTAATTCAAATGATCATCTTTCAAATAATTGTCTATTCCTCCTACGGGGCCTTCTTTGTACATACTTATGGTTCCTGTGTTTATCGAACGAAAACATGAAATTTCATAATTAATCTGTTATGAGTTACCGACAGTCTTTGAAATTAACTGGAAACTAAAATAAGCCACATGAAGTGTAGTTAGTCTGCTGTAAGGCGTCAAACTATTTACAACTTGAACAAAATAAAATATCAGCAGTAGTTAGGAATGTTAAAGAAGCATAAAACTGAATTACTGGAGAAATTCAATCAACATTGATTCATGGAATGATGTGTGTGTAAACAAAATTCAGTGACAATTTTAATTCATAGCAAATTAATAATACTCTTACCATAACCGTATATATAAAATGATGGATAGTCACTACCGTAATATTTAATCATGAATTTTGAATTGAAAGGCTAAAAATTTGCAAACATAGTGATTTGTACTTTTAATGTAAAATGTAGTTAACTCACTTTATTAAAACTTTCTTCCGGAAACATGCCACTTATAACTGGAACGGGCTGGTTGAGGCGTATGAGTTGTGAATAAAAATAATAATGAGACTGAATATATAAATTGGAATCTGATTAATTACTTACATATTCATAAGACGCATTCTCAAATAACACTTTTCTGTAATTCCCTAATTCCGGTTTCGTGCATATTTCATGGCACTTGATAAACCTCGAAATCATGAAGATTATCGAGTAGACTAGTATGAATTGAGCAATAAGCAGAGTATATCTAAAATGGTTTAGATTAACAAACCAGCTTTATTCCATTGAAACAAACAGCAATTCATATAATACACTCATTTGCCTTAATTGTAAAGCCAGCACTCACCTCATTTTCTTCTTCCAAATGTTAATCATGGCTGTTAGAACCTATGGCGTTTATATAGATTTTTAATTGTTTGTTTGTGTCTCACTTTATAGCAACCATCCTACAATCAATTTCGATTATAGCCAATTTTGGTTAAGCCCTTTTTTATAACTTACTTAACAGACATTGTCATTTGGATAGTAACAATTTGCATATTCTTTGCACTGCAATAACACTAGAGCACATGACACTCTAGCCGAAATGTTGACTGCTTAAATATCATTCGATGACTCATACTCCTACCCATATATGTACGCACGCAAATATTATTATCAGCCTTTGTTTTGCTTTGCTGTGCCCGTATTAAATTTGACTATAAATTGCCTATGTAATTGCTTGCTATCTCTCTCGCTCGCTCGCTTGGTCCTCGTTCGTTTCCTTCGCTTGTTTGCCTGTTCACTCGCTCGTTCATATTCGCTCAGGTGTTGTTAGCTTTCGAACCTGAGTCATTCGACAATAAACTGTAGTTGCTGCTATCCTTTGTCTTCTGATTTTACGCACCGTTAAGTTTAGAATTATAACGGTTATCGAAGTAAACGGTTAACGAATCGCGGCACTACAGAATTGGAGGCCTCGCCGAACAAGCACGACGCAATAGAATTGGATACCTCGCCGAACAAGCACGACGCAATAGAATTGGATATCTCGCTGAACGAGCACGACGCAATATAATTGGTTGCCTCGCCATACGAACACGACACTACAGAATTGGATGCCTCGACGAGCGAACACAAAACAATTTTCGACGAGATAATTTCATTTCGAAAATTCAACGTACTCTGTTTCTATTCGAATTATTATCTGGATTATAATCGTAATTGTGGATTTATTATATCACAATTTTAATCGTACGTACATTATCCCATTATTGAACTTAACGATAATATTCATAATAAATAACGATTATTCACGAACAATTGATATATTGGTGCAATTTAGTAAGTCTGTTCCATTTTATAAATTGTACCTTTTGTTATTATCATTTTTTTCATCGATTCATTTCTCTCAGTGACAATTACGTTATATTCGCATACTATTTAATTTATTATTATTATTAGTAGTAATGTCTTTAAATAACGAAACAATCGATCTTTCACAGTCACCATCCGTGGGAGTTATTAATGTTACTATTCCCTCTTTTAATGTTAATGATCCTCAACTCTGGTTTATTAGACTTGAAAATTACTTCGTAGCCAATCGTATTCTTTTACAGCGACATAAGTTCGGCTATGCAAGCTCACTACTTCCAGATGAAGTAGCAGTCAAGGTACGAGAGGTCCTAACTAAGCCGGATGCGGTAAATCCGTACGACGTATTGAAACAGGCCGTAATAAAAGCTCTCTCGTTAAACGACCGGCAGGCTGTCGAGCAGTTGCTCAGTGAAGTTCAAATCGGAGATAGAACGCCTTCGCAGTTAAAAACGTATATGAGCAACGTAATTGGAGACAGAAATGTGGATAAAAATATATTTTACCAGTTATGGTTGCGACGACTCCCACCGAACGTACAGCAGATCCTCGCTGTTGGAGATAGCGATGTAGACATAGACAATATCGCTAAAATAGCCGATAAGATTTACGATAGAATGAGAAATGCGACTTCACAAACACTCAACTTCACAGTTGACGAAAGAATCGAGGCCTTGCAAAAGGAAATTAATGCGCTATGCCATAAACTAACGAGTCTAAATCACAACGACAGGAAAAGAAGTTGGTCGCGCAGCAGATCAAGAGATAGAAACCGATCATTTTCTAAGGGACTACCAGATCCTGCTATATGCTGGTACCATCAAACATTTGGGTACAGAGCTCGAAAATGCAGGTCTCCATGCAAATTTAAACGATCCCAACGATTCTCAGTAACGACTACGAAAATCAACGCAGCTCCCACGAGCAATCGTTTATTCTATGTTCAGGACAGAGTAACGGGCGCGCAGTTTTTAGTAGACACGGGAGCAGAGATAAGCGTCGTCCCTCCATTGAGCAACGAAAAACAAAATATCGATACTGCGCTAACTCTTAAAGCAGCGAATAGATCCGATATAAAGACATATGGCAAGCGAAAACTAACCTTGAATTTCGGCCGTAATATTTCACTTCGCTGGGAATTTGTAATCGCTGATGTTTCCGTACCCATAATTGGTATCGATTTCTTAAAGAATTTTGACCTATTAGTAGATTCTCGACGAAACCAACTAGTGAATGGAGAACGCTCAGTAGTCATAAGAGGAGTGACCACTGATCATGTATCTATGAATTTAGTAGTGTCGAAAGATAGGAACGAGCAATATAAGTCACTTCTAAATAAGTTCGCCGACTTAACGAGGTCATCATACGACAACAAAGATCTTAAACATACAGTACAGCACCATATCGTCACGAAAGGTCCACCGACTAGAGTAAGAGCGCGAAGGTTGGACCCAAAAAGGTTAAACATTGCGAAACGAGAATTCGAAAAACTAATGAAACTTGGTATCATAAGGCCATCTAATAGTCCCTGGGCATCTCCGTTACATATGGTTCTCAAAAAGAATGGAGAAATTAGACCATGTGGAGATTATAGAGCCCTTAACAAGCAAACGATAGCAGATAGATACCCAGTGCCACATATTCACGACATCACTACCGAAATGGAAGGTGCTACGATTTTTTCGAAAATTGATCTTGTTCGGGCGTACTACCACATTCCAGTGGCCCCAGAAGACATACCGAAAACGGCTGTAATCACTCCATTTGGTTTATTTGAGTTTTTACGAATGCCATTTGGACTAACTAATGCAGCTCAAACCTTTCAGCGATTTATTGATCAGGTTGTTAGAGGTTTGACAGGGGTATACGCATATATCGACGATATATTAGTAGCTAGCGCTACTGTGGAAGAACATCTACAACATCTACGACAGTTATTCACGAGACTTCAAGAACATGGTGTCACTATTAACGTGGAGAAATGTGAATTTGGAAAGAAATCATTGCAATTCCTAGGTCATATGATAAATTCTCGAGGTATCATGCCAGTTCCAGCAGAAGTTGCTGCTATTCGTAATTATCCGTTGCCCGAGTCACAAAAAAAGTTACGACGATTCTTGGGACTAATAAACTATTATAGGCGATTTATTCCAAACTGCGCAGCAATACTACAGCCATTAACGGACGCTTTGCGAGGAAATACCCGAACATTCCATCTATCGACAGAGGCTATACAGGCTTTTGAGAACGCTAAGCGAGCACTTCATGAGAAAATGATATTAGTTCGACGAAAGAGCGAAGCGCCACTAGCCATCATGACGGACGCATCGAACATAGCAGTAGGAGCTGTACTGCAGCAGTTAGTAAACGGTACGTGGGAACCGATTTCATTTTTCTCGAGGAGATTAAACCCTACACAAACGAGGTACAGTACGTTCGGAAGAGAACTATTAGCGATTTACTTGGCAATCAAACATTTCCGACACATGATAGAGGGTACCATTTTTACAGTGTATACAGACCATAAACCCCTCACGAAAGCATTAAACGCCAAGCAGGATAACTATTCGCCGAGGGAAATTCGACAATTAGAATTTATTTCCCAATTTACTTCTAGCATACAGTATATTGAAGGTAATAATAACGAAGTGGCAGATGCGTTGTCCAGAACAACGATAAATGCGATTATTACAAATGGAATTGATTATCACGGTCTCGCAAAGTTACAAGAGATAGACATCGAACTAAACAAGCTAAGATTCGATGACACGACGTCATTATCATTCGAAGATGTTCAGTTCGGCAACGCGAAAGTAATATGTGACATGTCGACAGGCCGACCTCGCCCATTCATTCCTAAACCATTGCGACGGAAAGTATTCGAAAGTATCCATAACCTATCGCACCCGGGAATAAAAGCCACGATGAAATTAATCAGTGAGCGTTTCGTATGGACGAAAATGAATCGCGATATACGAAATTGGACGCAAGCATGCATGAAATGTCAAAAAGCCAAAGTACATCGTCATACTAGTTCGCCAATGGGTTCGTTTTCACAGCCAGACACTCGATTCGAACATATACACATCGATATCGTGGGACCACTGCCAGTTTCGAACGGGTACAACTATATTTTTACATGCATCGATAGATTTACCCGATGGCCTGTAGCGGTACCAATAAAAGACA